CCTCACACAGCCCCCGCGGCTGCCCCCCGTGAGCGCCCCTTCGTGTCCCCTCAGGCTGTGGGTGTCCCCTCGGGCCCTCCCCGCGGGTCCCTCGGCTGGGTGCCCCTCACAGCCCGCACCCTGGCCTGGAGCAGTGCTGGGGTGGGAGATCTCATCCCAACCCTGTGTGATCCCTCCCGGGCAGCCACAATCCGTGTGCAGGGAGCGAAGGCGCCTGCCCCTTCCCTGGAAACTGTGGAGATAGGTTAATAGGAGCGAGGATTTTTACTTCTTTTAATGGAGCTCAAGTGTGTTAATTGCGTTTCTCTGAGATAACCGGAGTTCTGATTCCCATCTTTTTGATCCTCAGGTGCTTGTTACGAGGAAAAGTGTTTTTAATGTATGTGTGCCCTAGTGAATGTGCTGGAGGTGGCTTTGGAAATCGTGTGTGTTTATGAAGGTCTGACCCACATCACGTCAGGAGGTGCCTCCTGGTTCTTTCAGGGCTGGATACACAGCCCGGAGCACTGCGCTGTGGTGAAGAGCAGAAGTTGGTCTGAGCCACCTTCAGCTGTCTAAAAGGTGGAAGTTAAAAGTGTGTTGTGTTGCTCCAGGTACCAGCCAGTGAGGAGAGATGTTCTTGATCACGATACCTAAAATTGTTCATAATCCTCATCGTGCTTTTGCAAACTCCTAAAGATCTGTGTTCACCAAGAGCTTTTATCCTGCAGTGAGGCTGGGGTGGTTGATAACATGGAGTTACTGCTGTACAGTGGGTTTCAGGAAGAAATAAACTCCCTTTTCTTTGAGCTGCCCCCGAGTCCCTGAGCTCTGTGTGTTGGATGCCAAGGCAGAACTAGTGGAAGCTGTCTTGGGCTAGTGCGTGAGTCCAGGCGTGATGCTGACACGGTTACTCTGCTCTTTGAGTGAGAGTTGGTTTGTGTCCCACCACCTCAGATCATGGGCAAACTTGCTTCGTGCCCGCCTGCTGGATTGTATGGACAGAGGCAGTGTTGCTTTCACTGTAGAGCTGAAAAGCTGAGCTCTGCACGGCAGGAGTGCTTTAAGAAGGGCAATTATGACAAAGGAAACACCAGGAGCGGAATGTTTTGCAGGGTTCTCGACTCCCACCAATTCCACTTTCATAAGAAAGATCCCCTTAAAATTGTTCTCTCTCTCTTGCACAAAGTTCCCTGCAAAAATATTCAGACAACTGCAGTGCAGGAGGGGATCACGCTGAGGCGTCACCAGAGCAGTTCTTTTGGGCTTCACAACATCTGGGTGTTTAGGAATGTACACAAAAGAGAGCACAACCTTCCCTGGCAAGTGCAGGGAGACTTTCGGAAGTGAAGATAATCACCTCATTGTGCCAGGAAGTACTGAAAACCACAAAGGACAAGTGTTCTGTCTTACTCTTAATGGCAGCAGTGGTTGATTTTACCCATTAAAGTGATGCTGAGGAGCAACTCTTGTGATTACCTGGCACAATAAGCTCCAGTGTTAATAATTGGCCATTTTTGTTACCAGTATTATTACATGGAACTTTTAGAAGGTAAATGTGTAATAAAAAACATTTTTCTCTTTTTCCTTGTAGGATGGAAGAGAGATCAATCTGAAAAACTGTTCCGTTGTGGACCTGCTGCTGTCTGCTAGAATGTTCCTGATGAATGCTTCTCCTTTGGTAGCTCTTCAGACACAATGGGAGTCCTTTGGACCAGCGAGGAATTGTAGATACCCTGTTTGCTACCCTGAATCTGAAGAAGACGTCAGTAGAACCTCTGTAAGTGCAAAAGTTCAGATGATCATAAACAACCTGCAAAGTCAAGAGTCTCCCCTGGGTATGAACAATGAGTATGATTGTATTATGCAGAAGAAACAACAGGGAGAAAAGGGCACTGGTAACAGAGTCGCATCTAGCACCGCGCTGCTGCAGAAGCATCCTCAGTACGCCCAGTGTGGGTGCCCTGCTGACTCGGATGACACCGATGGGGAGGAGAGTGTGGGGTTTGGGAGACTCCTGCTCGATTCTGATAGCGACGACTCGGTGGACCGAGGTATAGAGGAAGCCATTCAGGAGTACTTGAAAGCAAAAAGCCAAAGTGACCGGTCCTTGCAGGGGAATGCGGAGTGTTCTGAAAACATAAGCAGAGACAAAAGGTTTAAGAGAGAATTCTCACAGAACAAAGCGGCGAGTGACCTTCTCCCTGTGAAATTCAAAGCTGAGATGCTCTCTGAAGAGTACCTGTCTGACCACCTGGGCGTTGGGAAAAGGCTGCGGCCTGCTTCCCCTCAGAGCATCAGCAGTGACGACTCTTTTGAACAGAGCATACAAGCTGAAATAGTGCAGTTCTTGAATGAGAAGAAGCAGCAAGAAATTAGTAAATGTGTAACTGGGGAGGAGAAAAAAGATTCCCACGTGAGATCTGTCCTAAAATGCAGCAAAGAAGCAACAAACCAACCGAACTGTGGTGCTATAAAGCAAGGTTGTAACGCGCTGCTCTTGAGACACCGTGCCAAGCTGCAGAAACCCAGCACGCAGGCCAAGTGTTTGCAGTCTAAAACCCAACCAGAGCCCAGTGACTTCAGCCAGGTGAACCCAGCGTATCTGGAAATGGCCACTGCCAGCCAGCCCTGGGGAGTGGAGCAAGGTGAAGAGAGTGGAGCTAACTACTGGGAGACAAGGGGAGCACTTGCCAGCGAGAGCGTGCACGCATCTGACTCGAGCAGCGATGATGGCATTGAAGAAGCCATTCAGCTTTATCAGCTGGAGAAAACCAGGAGAGAGGCAGGTCACACAACAGACTGTGTCCCTTTGCAGAGGGAGGAACTTGATACAAAGGGTATGGCAGACATTTCTGCAAGCCTGACAATTAGCTCAACAACAAGTGCCTCACCAGAAATCCATAAAAGCCCTGTAAGCAACAAGAGAAAAGAAACTGATTCCAAGTCAACAGAATTCGAAAGCACCAGCAATGACTTTAACAAGCTGTTTAAACCACTGAAAAAAGCCAGACATTTTGCACTTCCAGAAAACAAGATTGCTGCTTGTGAGCTCACATTGCAGGCCTCTTGCAGAGCGGACACATCTGCAGAGCTCATGTGTGCAGAAGCTATCCTTGATATTTCCAAAACAATCATGCCATCCCAAATGGGAAGTGACAGCAAATCACTCCCTGCAGACTCCTTCTTTTCTTCCCAGCTCCTCTCATCCTCCCGCTGTGACAGTGACAGCAGCCTGGTGGACAGTGATGATAGCATAGAGCAAGAGATCAGGGCTTTTTTGGCTCTGAAAGCACAGTCAGAAAAGCTTGGAACAAAGCCTCCCAGCCTGTCACGCTCACTCCAGATGCCTTTGCCTTCAGATCAGAACAGCCTCACCAGTACCCTAGAGCCTTCTTTTCCCAAATCACTGAAGCTGTCACTGAGTCGTAAAAAGAGACTCAAAAGGGAAGGCAGAATAGCAAAACAGGGTGCATCAAAACCACCTGAGCAGGTGGAGACAGAACTTTTCCAGCCAAGTAACTATCCAAAACTTCCTGTGCTCCAAGAGGAACGTGCCCCGAGCAGCCCCGCAGAGTTCTGTGATGCTCAAAAGCTTGGCAGTAAAGAGACGAGGCAGCAGCAGCTGCTGGCTTCCAAATTGTCTGGATCAGATGGCAGATGTTTGGCCTTGGACTCCGTAAACCCTTTCATACAGGTTCAGAGTAACACAAGAAAGCCTGTGAAAAACTCCATCCAAAGTCAAGAGAGGGATATTTCGGATGATGAGAGCAGTTCTCTGGATAGTGATGAGGACCTGGATAGTGCCATCAAGGACCTTCTGCAGTCTAAAAGAAAATTAAAGAAGAAGCCCAAGGACCAGAAATCTCAGTGCAAGAAGAGGGTGAGGTTCAGTGAGACAGAAGCTCAGCAGCTCGATGGATTTAGCAGCCTCCAGCAAAGCAGACATCCTGTGCTGCTGAGGAGCAGCCTCTCCAAACCCAGAAAAGCCGCGAAAGAGAATGTGGTCCGAAATCCTCCTGATGACACAAATGTTAAACTTCCCAGTGAAAAACCAGAAACTGTGAAGAACTCAGAGTTTAACCTACAGCTGAAAAAAGGATCCAAATCTAAACCAGTCACAAACCAGAATAACCTGCAGGCAGCTAAAAATAGGCAGTGTACTTTCACAGTCACGTCGGGCGCTGACGACAGCAGTTCAGTGGACAGCGATGACAGCATCGAGCAAGAAATCAGGAAGTTTTTGGCAGAAAAGGCTAAAGACTCTGCAAGCAACTCGGACTTACAGAAAGATGATGCAACTCTGGACCTACTGAGAGTGACCAAACAAACTGCTACTAAAGGAAAAGCAAAGCCACAGCCGGTTGAAAATGAGCTTGACCTGGTGCTGGGTCAGAGTGACAAGCCTGAGGTGTCTCAGCAGACTGAGGAGCTGAAGAACTCTCTGAGAACAGAAGGCAAAAGTGCAATGTTACATGGCAGTGGGAATTCTGCTTCCTCAGCAGAGAATGTTCATACTACTGGTCAGTCAAAAGCTAAGCAAGCACTGGTGGGGGTTAAGGATGCTGCTGCTGGTGAGTTATCTGGAAGCACAGCAGGTAAAAGGGATGTCCCTAATCCAGAGCCCATGCAGAAAATGCTTCCACCTAAAAGCAGCAAAAATGAAGGTGGTAAAGTACGAAAAGTAGTTAATGCAAAGCCCAGATCCAAGAAAAAGAATACCTTTCACCTCAAAATTTCAAGTAAATTTATTGCAGGTCTAAAATGTGCTCGGGACAGGAAGAAATCCATGCTTCTGAGCAAAAGGCAGAAAGCAGAGAGCTTGCTCGCCCAGAGCAGTGTGTTAGGAACAGAGGCAGCTTCCCAGGATACAGATGTACTTAACCAGGGAAGAGGAGCCCCCTCGCCCAAAGGCAAATTTAGTGGGGAGAGTACAACAGCAATAAAAGAATCCAGTTCTCAGAAGCTCGCTGGGGAAGGGTCAAGTCCCCGTGTAGCAGAAACCTGTGAAAGACTGGAGGCTGCTTCTCTGCCTGTCACAGAGGAAGCAGGGGGTTGTGAAAGGGCTGGTGCTGCAGCAGAACAGTCAGATTCACATTCCAGTCTCCCCTTGCAGGAGCAGAGCGTGGCAGCAGTGAAGGTAAATAAGGTTTGCAGAGGAACATCCAAAGCTGAGAGCGCGCAGATGTGGATCGAGGCGGGAGACATCTGCAGAGGCAGCTGGTCTGATCCAGATGTAGATCCCCCACACCCTGAGCACAGCGTGGCAGTGGTACAAGCAGATAAAGTCAGTAGAGATGCATCTCAGCAGAGTACACATGTGTGCAGTAAGGGAGAGAATAACCAGCAGGACAAGAGCCCAGCTCCAAGTTCAGGTTGCCCACCACAGGAGCTAAATGTGACAGCGGTAGCAATGGATAAAACTAGTGGAGGAGCACGTACAGATAAAAGCACACAGATGTGCACTGAGAAGGGAAGAGTTCTCTGCCAGGACAGTGACAGACAGGAAGAAATGCAGGTATCCAACTCCAGTTTGGAAGGAAAAATGCCTGTCCTGGAGAATAGGGAAACTGCTTGTGAAGTGGACCAAGGGCAGGAAGTTTTAGACAAACCCTGTGCAAAAGTTCCTGAGCTCCCTACAGGGATCTGCCCCGATTCCCTCTTGAAAGGAAAGGTTTCAAATCTGTAAGTACAATTCTTTTTACAGTAACAGTCTTTCTAGAAAGTAAATGTAATTACCTTGATAAAACTTGAGACATGAGAGACAGTGGGAGAGGCTGATACCTACCTGTATATCCTACACACACTAATGTGAAAATGCGTCTATTGAACAGGGATCTCATGGACAGACATTCATAGTTTTTGTAGAATTTTGTAAATTATTTAAAGCGCTCTAAGGAAATATTTTTTATAAGGATTTTTAGGGCTTGCATTGCTGCAGGATGCTGTACTCACTGTAGATAAGATACTGGCTCATCACGCTTTAAATGATGAGGCCTCTAATCATATGTATAAATAGGAAACCTGTTTGTGCACGGAATATATTGGGCAATCTGCTCAGAGGAGGAGGACACAGCGTTCGGTCGCAGTGCTCTGCCTCCAAAGCCCATTGACACCCATTCCCGTTCGAGCTGCCTTAGGACAACCCCATGCCGGGGGCTTCTGCCGGGTCCCGGCCCTCCCACCCCGGGGGCTGCTGAGTGAGTCCCCTCAGCACAACCCCAGCAAAGCCGGTGCAGATGTAGGTGTGGGGCTCCAGCCTTGAAGATCCAAATGGGAATTCAGGTAAATAACGTGGATGGGTCTGTCTGCACGTCCTGGGGGAAGCCAGAAGTACCTTCTGAATGCCCACAACCTCCCGCCAGCGGATGATGCTTCCATCCAGTGTCTGTGCTGACACCAGGATTTCAGTGGATTTCACTAGATGGATGCACTGTTGGGCCTGTGGGGCTGAAACAATTCCTGGTTGTTCTCAAGTCTCACTTTGCTGCCCTGCAGTTAGCCAGAGATGGTGTTTGGTTTCCTGAGTGGACTTCCTGGAATTGAGTGCCCTTACTTTCCTTGTTCAAAAGGGGTTTCTAAGCTGTTACATCCCCGTGAACTCTGATTTTCACTTACAGTTTTTGTGCAATAGAACAAAGCTGGGTTTGCTCTAGGACATCCCTAATGTAAGCGCCAAGGATATGTCCAGCACTGTTCCTTCATACCAGTAGCTCTTTCTCTGCCTCCGTTTCCAGCAGCAG